AGAAAACCAGGGTCCAAAGCAGTTAAGCAGGAGGTCCCCAATAGCATAGACAATAAGTAGCAGAGTCAGAATGGCAATCCAGGCACACAGGCTCCAGTCTGCACTCTTACCCTGGAAGGTGTAAATATCAGTTTTGTAAAGTTATATAAGATTTGTTGCAATAATCATAAATACACATAAATCTGAAGAGAACAGAGCCATGACCTAGCAGGCCCCTGCCACTTCCTTCCCAACTGTTATCATTCATTTGCAGCTACTCTTACTTAATCAGTGGTGATTTCTCCATCCATCATTCAATCTGTATTTTTGCATCTTATTCACATGGATACAAACTTTGTCCCCAACACAGGCTCTTCTCTTTGTTCTGGTCAGATTTTGAAGGTTCTTATTGTCTCCAGACTCACACATTTCAGTTCATATCCTTCCAGCTACTGCTATCAGCTGATGTTACCACTCATTTTTTCTTTCCTTGATTATATTTCTCCTGTCATCTTTGATAGATTTATTAAAAACATTTATTTTGCAACTCTTATGTACCAGAGAAGGAGGATACTGAATAAGATAACATCCTTATTCTTAAGAAGTTCAAAGTCTGGGGCTGGGGTTGTGGCTCAGTTTAGAGTGCTTGGTTCACGCGTGTGAGGCACTGGGTTCTATCCTCAGCACCACTTAAAAATAAATACAAAATAAAATAAAGATATCCATCTACAACAAAAAATGTTTAATAAAAAAGAAGTTCAGAGTCTAATGGAGAACACAAATGAACAAGCTGCCATCTTTCCAGTTTGCCATATGGCAAACACCATGCTTAGTGTTTTACATGCACCATCTTATGGGATAGAGGAAACCAGGCTCAAGTGTGTGGTCAAGTGTGTGGACTTCAGAGTCAAAAGAGCTTGGTACAAATCCTACTTCTACAATTTCCTGCCGGTGTGAGCACTCTATCCCTCAGTTTCTTATTTAAAAGTGGACAAATAATAGTGGGTTATAATCAAATATTATAATATATGCAACATTCTTAATATAATGCTTAGCATATTAAAAGTAAAATAAATATTAGTGATTAATATTTTTTTCTACCAGTACCCATTTTTGGGGATAAGGAAATTTGAACTTTAAAGAGGTTCTATAACTTTCTCACAGGCATATTGTTATTAAGGTGGAGAGGTTTAAAGTTTTCTGTTAGCTACTCCCCTCTATCTATTGCCTTTATGGTTGGATGGATACATGCCTTTATAAAATAGGACTAGTGTAGTGTTGGAGCAGAGATGAGGAGCACCTAACCCAACTTTGTAGGAAAGGAGTTAGGGCAGCCTTCTAGAGCATGTGGAGCTTCAGTTAAGACAAACAAGGGTTGGGCTGAATGGAAGACAGGCGAGAAATAGAAGCTAGAGGTAAGAGCAGGGAAGGACCATTTTATCCAGAGCTAGAAGCTTGTCAAAGGTACAGTGAAATGAGAAATAGCTGGATCAGGGAACTGCAGAATGGATAAGGATGAAGACAAAGGATTAGTCATGCCTTGCTCCATCTGGGTCGATGGGACTGCTGGAAGCTTTTCTCTTTCAGTTCACCCTCCAGTTTTCCTTGTAGGTCTGAATTAGGTCCAGAGGGGTTAATTCTCTCTGTACTTCTAGTTCCTTATCACAAAGATGAGATTTTCAATACATGTCCAGGGAACTGCAGTTTCTATCTCCGTTCTCTTGTCCCCCTCTTAGTCTGTGATCTATTTATGGATGGCACCCACCATGCAGAAGTTCCTTCTTAACCACCTGCTATGCATTTGTCTTCTATGCATTTAATACCAATTCTTCTCAAATCTTTGTATCTCCAATCTGTGCCCCTTCTTGAACTAGCAAGTTCCATATGTTTGTTTACTATCTACTAAGTAAAAATGAGTTGGTTGTTTTCTCTAAAATAATTTCCTTTAAAATTTAAATGACATTCATTTGGTATTAGAGTTCTAGGGTTTGGTCAACAAATCTTTCCATCTCTGTGATGATTTTATTATGGACCCAGCCACCAAATAATTCCACCACCCCCCCTCCAGGTGGAGGTCTTTTCCCTATGAATTCAACTGAGTCCAGCCACAGAGCATCCTATAGATATTCCCCCAAGAATATTCTTATCCATCTCACAGGCCAGTGCTTTATTTCACTTGGGCAGGCCTTTCAGTAGGCCAGCTTTTCCTGGTGACCAGATCACAGTGTGACATTTTGTGCATGCTGGTAAGGACATTCTTACTACCAACCACCAAAACTGAGGAATGATCTTTCCTACCACCCTTCATTCCCACCTCTTATATAAACCATAGAATCTCCCTAACTATAACTTCACCAAGTTGAGGACAAATTTTAAATGCCCAGTCTTTCACTTTTAAGGACTCTGTCAATGAAACACCTAGCAAACATTCAGGCATTAATGATTGCAGTTTTAATTGTTGTAGACATGGGTGCTGAAGGAACATAGCATTATCCATTCAGGAGAAGCAACCAATTCAGGAAGACAATACCAACATACTGACCATGGACTTGTTCTTTTTCTGGTCTTGCTGTCTGTCATGTAATCAACACTTCTTGAAGGCTTTCTGTTTTTGAGTACATTCAACTCCCAGGAATTCTGGTGCTTCCGCATGCTATGTATATTTGTCACAGCTGCTTTTTGTTTTACTGAACCACAGCTGCTCCAGCTGCTGTCATCCAGCTGCTGTGTTAGCTGTGTGTGCCATTACTGGCCTCCTGCCTGCCTGATTTCTAACAGACACCCCCATGTTCTAGCTGTGGCCTCCTGAAATGGCCAGATTACTGAACCCCACATCCCCCCATTTTTCAACCCTCTGTTAGGCTTGGTGATACTTTGCATAGCCTATCCCAGACTGTTTGTGTCTTCCAGAAATTCAGATCCTGTGATAGGTCTGACTTGCCACATGCTCTGGTTCTTGTATCTACCCTGCTGTGACTTCCTATTGATTTTCAATTACTTCATCAATTGGAAAACTTACTTGAATCAAACAAAAAGCAAATTTCTAAAAGTAGAGAGAGTATAACAGTGGTTGTCAGAGACTGAAGCGAGTAGGAAGGAGGGGTGAGGGTGAGAGAATGGTCAGTGGTACAATGGTACAGTTAGGTAGGAGCAAGATGTTCTGGTGTACTATTGCACAGAACTATGGCTATAGATAGCAATAATGTACAGTATATTGCAAACTAGCTAGAAGAAGGGATAGTGAATATTTTGCCACAAAGAAATGATAAGTGTTTGAGGTGGTGGAAGATAATCATTACCCTGATTTGATCATTACACAATGTACACATGTATCAAATCTTCCAGCCAGGTGAGGTTGATCGTACCTGTGATCTAAGTGGCTCCAGAGGCTGAGGCAGGAGGGTCTTGAGCTCAAAGCCAGCCTCAGAAACTTAGCAAGGGCCTAAGAAACTTAGAAAGACTCTGTCTCTCAATAAAAATATTTAAAAAGGGCTGTTTAAGGGCCCCTGGTTTCAATCCCCAGTAACGAATAAAAAATAGAAAGAGAAAGGTCACGTGCATGACCTTGAAAGAGCCCCCCCCCCAGCATCAAGCCAGTGCAGAGCACAGTCTTCATTCAAGTGAACTACCCCTCACTATACAGCCTGTGATACAGTTGTTGATTGGATTAGAATTTTCTCTACTTGAATCTGATGAAATAATAATAGTAATAATTAACATGTATTCTTTCATCTATTCAATAACTATTATTGAGTGCCTACTATGTAGCAGGTATACTATGTCTCTACCCTCATAAGAATTCACATTCTAGTAGAAAGGATAGAAAATAAACATTAAAACACAAAAATTCTTAATAGTATATTTATTATTAATATTATTATAATATTTAATATTATTAGTAGTAAATAATAATTTTAGGGAATTTTAGATACTACAAAGAAAATTAAACAAAACAGTAGGATAGAGAATACTTAATGGAGCTACTTAAACAAGAGCAACCAAGGAAAGCCTCTCTGAGGAAGTGTCATTTGAGCTGAGATCTTTTAAGAAGACAGCCATGCAAAGATCTGCGGAAAGTCCTTTCCCAGAGAGAGGGATTTTTAAAAGCGATTTCTACTCACTCCTCCCCACCAAATAAACCCAAGAAAAAAAATCCCAAAGCCTCTCAAAGTGCACTGGGCTTAATAATTTAATAATCTTGATATTTTTTTGGTACCAGGGATTAAATTCAGGGGCACTCAAACACTGAGCCACATCCCCAGCCCTATTTTATATTTTATTTAGAGACAGGGACTCACTGAGTTGCTTAGCACCTTGCTGAGGCTGGCTTTGAACTCATGATCCTTCTGCCTCAGCCTCCAAAGCTGCTGAGATTACAGGCGTGCACCACTGCATCAGGCCCAAGCAACATATTCTTTTTTTTTAATTTCTTACATACATGACAATAGTGGAGTGTATTACAATCATAATTATCCATTCACAGCACAATTTTTCATAACTCTGTATATAAAGTATGTTCATACCAAATTATGCCATCATACATGAGCTCTCTTATTATTTTTTGCATTACAATTCTTAATACACATTTATACCACAATTTATCATATCTCTGTTTGTATATAAGATATGTTGACACCAAATTCACATCTTTATACATGTATTTTGTATAATGATGCAACATATTCTTAACCATTGCATTTACTGCCTCTATAGTAGATCACATAGTCTGAAGATGAAAGAAAGAGTTTGGTAGAAGTAGTCCTTGAAATATGCCTTGAACATGCTTAGTGTTCTGTGGAGATTGAGGGAAGGGAGATGGTATTCCAGGTAGAAAAGCAAAGTACAGGACATAGAAGTAGGAACAAATAAAGTGACGTGGCTGTGTTAGAGAAGAGACCAATATATGTGAGATCATCTGTCTGCCTATTGCAGATCTGACAGTCCTGTTAGAGATCAACTCACATTTTCTCTTTTCTTACTCTTGATAATTAACTAACCTGCTTTTTAAAAATCTCTTTTAGGCTCTTTGAAACACTTCAGTCACTCTTCTGGTCTGTATTTGGCCTTTTAAATCTCTATGTCACCAATGTGAAAGCCAGACATGAGTTCACCGAGTTTGTAGGAGCTACCATGTTTGGAACATACAATGTCATCTCCCTGGTAGTGCTGCTGAACATGCTGATTGCCATGATGAACAACTCCTACCAGCTTATTGCTGTAAGTAACTTTGCTTTATCAGGGTCTTTACTTTGGTTTCAGGAGTGTGTGACATTGGTATGGAGCCCACTACAAGCTCAATGACAGTCTGGCTGTGTATAGTGGTGCATACCTGTAATCCCAGCTACTCCAGAGACTGAGGCAGGAGGATTGCAAGTTCAAGGTCAGCCTCAGCAACTTAGTGATACCATGTCTCAAAATAAAAACTAAAATGGGCTGGGATGTAGCTTAGTGGTAGAGCACTTGCCTAGCATGTGTGAAGCCCTGAGCTCAATCCCCAGTACTGGGGGGAGGGGGGGGAGAGTCTGTCTGCTTCAATGAACTTACATTAGCTTTCTCAATTATTAAATTGATTTTATTTTTTCTAAGGTAATTCTGTTTGGACTCAATATATTGAATTTTGGTAATCTATACTAGGTTGTTTTAGTTAATAGAATTTTCTTGCTGTTAAAAATATTTTAATTTTTTAAATTTATTTTCTTGCCTCAGTAAGGAAAATTGATGGTATGAGCACAACTGGCTTCCCCATTGGGCACCTCACTTCCAGAGTCAATTCAGCCAATCTAGTTCTCTAAGTTGGACAGTGGTATCTCCTGTCTCCTATCTTAGTGGTAAAGTGCCCCAAGTTTGATCCCCAGTACCAAAAAACATAAGTGCATAAGATTGTCTACTGGTATGCTTTAGATCCTAAGTGCTTAGGTAATAGAAAAAAAAAAAGGGCTATATAATGGGAAAAAAAATTAGAAGTTTAGAAACCAAGGACTTTAATCCTGATTCTGCCATGTATAATAAAGTGACCTTGGGTAATTTATTTTCTCTTCTTGGGCTTCTTTTTTCATCCCAAAACAGTGAGGGAGTTGCAATCAATGGTCTTTAACATTCTTGCCAGTTCTGTGAGTCTGTGTGTCTGCAGATGAACGAAATAGGCTCAGTAAGGTCCCTTTTAGCTCTGAAATTCTGTTGTGTTTGAAGTGGAATATAGTTTTGCTTCATTCCCTCACTTGCTTACTTCCTCTCTCTTTCATTCAAACCTAACTAAACCAAAGCCTCTGATATGATCTACACTTACTCCTAGCCTGTCTCTAGAAGGGGATGAGGGCAGACATGCAATCTTAGGGCTTGATTTCTCCACTTCCTATGCCTGATATCCTACCCTCCACCCTTGAACAAAGATGACAATATTCATGGTAATACAGTTGTAGTTTTATCACTACATGTTTGGCAGCGGATTGTTGAGAGCCACAGCCAAAGGGGCCCCAGCAAACTTCCAGCTGCCAGCAAACTTCCAGCTGCCAGCAAACTTCCAGCTGCCGGCTGATGATTGGCTCACAGCGGCCCCAGCAACATCTAGCTGATTGGCTCCTCTGCGGTGATGCTCATTGGGCTGTTTCCCTGCCCTTTCACCACTGAGCTGCTCATTGGGGGACTTTTTTGGCTCCGCCCACACGACCCAGCGAATAGGCCTCAATAGCAGGAGGATTGTGGGAGGTGGAGAGGCTTGTGTTTGAGAGAGAGGCTTGTGGGAAGCCGGTGGTGGCAGTTGGGGCTCTGAGGGTTTTTCCTGAGGAGCTGTTTTGTTTGGCGTGTGTGGTTCTAAAAATAAAGTTAGTTTCTTTTGACAAGTGGCTCCTAATTGTGCCCAGCCAGACTGCGGCAGCGGATCTTTCTTTGTGACAGTAAGAAAGGAAGAGATTTTTCTTGTCACCATAGGGCAGTGGCATTTCACTCTGAGCTCAGTGACATTTTCTAGGAAGGGTGGAAATCATCAACTCCAGCTTTCCTGTCACCACCTGCTGGTAGTAGGTTTTGTTTTAATACTACCTACAGTTGTACTTCAAGAAAACTCCTTGACTCCCCTCCCCATGGAGGGTGCCTGGAGTAGATGACATGAATTGTGTCTGTCTGTACCATCTCACACATCTGGGTCATGGCCAACCATTCTGAATACTACCTTCTGCTTTGGGATTTTCTGGTAGTTTTTTTTTTTTTTTTAACCATTTGGAAATGGAACAAGCAGGATGCCAATATTTAGCAATCTGATTGCAAAAGTATCTGGAACTGCTTAAGCAGCAAAGACCAACAAGTAGATTTTAATTTCATTTGCTATATCTCTACTTCAGTAGTGAATATAATCTTTAGAAGGGCCTTTACATGAGGGAAAAGGCTACAAAAAAGGGAAATCACCAAAGACAAATTTCTCCTGCCTCTAAAGGTATCACAGGCTGACTCAGTGTAGATAGAGATCATGCCTTACTGTCAATCTGTCCATTGCACTTTCTAGTCCACACTTCAAGAACACCAGGTGAGATCAGTCCCTTGAAGGGTTGACCTCCTTATCAATGTTCCCAGGATTCAGAGATGCTGGTGATATAGGGCTCTGTAGCAATTGGTATTTCTATGCCAAAGAAGACTCCTCTTCTATGATGTGTAGTATTATCCTCAAGATACAGTGAAGCAGGAAATCACTCCAGGCCTGTGCTCCATGTTACCAGCCAACTTCAGTAGGTGAATCTGGCCATAGTATATATTATTAGTTATTTGCAATTAGTAGTGTTTTACTTTTCTCTTCATATCTCCCTTAAGCTACTTATTACCCTCTGTGACACTTCTTTCAGCACAACCATCTTGTCACTAATGTTATTTATGTACATGCATAAATTACATCAAACAAAGCTGCTCTTGATGCTATTTTAACCAGATTCACCCATTACAAAATATTAAGTGAGACAGATGGAGTAGTCCAAAAATGCTCATTTATCTTAGGCCCTATTCCTATCCCCTGTCCCAACCACAAGAGACATCTCTGTTGCCTGAGATTGGTCATTACAAAATATGATGGTCTGTGATCAAGACTTATTCAGTAAGTTAATAAGAACCTTCAGAGCTGGGCACAATGGTGCACGCCTGTAATCCCAGCAACTCCCAGCAACTCAGGAGGCTGAGGCAGGAGAAATGCAAGTTTGAGGTCCTAAGCAACTTAGTGAGACCTGTCTTAAAATAAAAACTAAAAAGGGCTGGGGTTCAATCCCCATGCCAAAAAGAAGAAAGAAAAAGAGCCTTCAGTTTCATTGGCTGCTGTGCAGCACTCACTCTAATGCTGACAAAAAGTGAACAGCATGTGCCTCACTGAGCTCCAGCTGCTGAGTGGCTTCAGGAGAGCCTAAATACATAGGATTGGTTTGGTCATCTCCAGTAGGGTGGCAGCATCTGGAGTCATCATCTCAGATGAATGGACTTCTCTGCAGCAGAAGACAGCCTTGCAAATGAAGACAGTCATTCAAGTAAACCTAGCATTGAAAAAATAGCAGGCAAGGTTAGAGAGGGCTGTTGCTCATCATCAAACTGCCAAAGAGGGCAGGTGGTCTCCCTGCCTACCCCCAGCCACCTGGGACCAACCTCCAATTCTCAAAGCACAGAGAAAAAGACAGTACTTCACATACTACACTATGAATTTTAACCCTCTAAGTAGATCTGATAACCAATTTCTATGCATTGATATGACTAACCAGATGTTAAGATATTAGAAATATTTCTGTTCTAGTTGGTAAATAGCTGCCACTCCAGCTGCTCCGTATAGGACACCGCCAGACCTCTCCACTATCCAGCAAGTAAAAGGTAATGTCTGGAACAGCAGATAATATGCAGGACCCTGCTCCAGTACTGCAGCTGGCATACATTCAAATTGATTGGTTTCTTAGTCTAAATATCACTGTAGTAAGCAGAAACTTCAATCACTCCCCTTCCATTTCTCACCTAATAGTCAGGACTATGAATATGATGAAATATCACACTTGCAATTATGTTTCATGACATGGCCAAAGGAATTTTGCAGATGTATTGTTACTAATCAGGGAGATTATCCAGGTGGGTCTAATCAAATCACATGAGTCCTTTAAGAATGGTTTTCTGTAACTGATAGCCAAAAAGGATATTAGGGATCTGGAGCACAAGGAAGAGTTGATCTGTCATTGCTGTCTTGACCATGGAAGGGTCCATGTGGTAAGAAATTCAGGTGCCTCTAGAAGATGTGAGTGACCCCAATCTGACAGACTGCAAAAGAAGTAGAGACCTTAGTCCTACAACTGCACAGAAATGAATTCTGTAAACATCATAAATGAACTTGGAAGCAGTTTCTTCTCTAGAGCCTTCAGATCAGAGTACAGCCACCCCGATACCTTGGTTTTAGCCTTGTGAAAACCAGTGTGACTGGAACAGAGTAAACAAAGGGAGAGAAGTAGAAGAGGAAGTCAGGAAGGTAATGGGAGTAAGGGACAGATCATGTAGGCCATTATAGACCATTGTAAGGACTCCGGCTTCTACTCTTGTGAGGTATAAGGAGCCCTGGGAGGATTTTGAGCAGAAAACATATATGATCTAGCTTGCATGTTAATAAGATTTCTGTGTTGAAAAGAGGGTAGACTGAAGCAGGGTAGGGACAAAGACAGAGAAATCAATTGTGAGATCATTGAATTGACCCAAAGAAGAGCTGGTGGTGGATTAGACCCGGTGGTTGTTATGGCAGCTATGAGAAGTGATCAGCTCTTAGACATGCTGCTAGATTAGTTGTAAGGTGTGAGTTAAATACAGGAGTCAAGGATGAGACCAAGTTTTTTTTTGGCCAACTGGAAGGGTGGAGTTGCACATTACTGAGATGGGAAAGAGTGGGAAAGGAGTAGGCTCAGTGCAGGGGAATAAGGGCAGAGATCCAGAATTGAGTTTTAGACTAATGAAGTTAGAGATGCTCATTAGCCATCAGAAGGAAGATGTTGAGTAGACAGTGGTCTACAAGCCTAGAGGAGCAATCCAGACTGGAGACAAAGATTTAGGAGTCACCAGTATAGGCATGGTTGAGATCACTAAGGGAGTAAGTGTGGCTAGATAAGTAAAGATAGAAGGGAGACCAGTAGAGTTGAGGAATGGGAACATGGAAAGGGTGGAGGGGAGGGAATTGGGAAGTAATGCGAAATGAAATTGACCAAATTATGCTATGCCAATATATG